TGGAATTAGGTCTTCTGTTAAGTTAGGTATTGTTCTGTTTTAGCCATTGGGAAAGTGGCCATGAAAGTTACTAAATTTTGTAGGGAATAGGGTTTCAAGCTGAATGTGCTGAGTGTTCTCCTTAACATAGCATGGATGAGAATCCAATGCTTTGCTTGAATTTGTGTTGTGCGTAAATGATAAACTGTGAATTAGCTCATGTTTACGATTATGGGGTTGCTTGTTTATACATTTGTAAAAATACCACAATCAAAACATACTTGAATGTGAAAATGGAAATTATTTTGTCAATAAAGAAAAAGAAAAAGAAAACAGATATGGTAACATATTTATTGAACCATAATAAAATTAATGTTATTGTTATCCTGTGACTTGACTTGAATAACTACTTTGGTGTTTTCATTGTTGATTACTTAGTACGAGTGAAGATTGATACAACAAGATTTTACTTTTACATCCTCTAGAAGTAATGAGGACAACGCTTGCAATATAATTTTAGGGTTTTAATCTTCTAGATGTGTTATACCTTTCACATGCCACCTTGATATTTCTCAATCAATCACTCTTCTGTTTAAAAATAGGACTAGAATGTCACATTTCACGTGCCAACTTGAGATAATATCATTAACGATAAGAACATTGTGAGGTCTCAGAGTATAGTTTACTGACCACGATATAATCTGGTGATTCATAACTTGCAATAGATTTAACATAACAATATCCTAATAAATTTAGCTTTAATTCATTTTAAAGTCTTTCAAATGTTGAAACACGAATTGAAAACTTGACATAGCATGTGATCATATAACAACTTCACACTATACCAATAGCACCGTATGCTATCATAAAGTTTTATGGCATTTGTTTGATGCAATTTTTCACAATTTTATATTATTGTTATCCTTGTTTTTGTCTATATTAAAATGTGAATGAGTAACATGAGATATATTATAAAATTTTGAAAACCATAGAAAAATAAAACACAATCAACATTGTCCTGTATATAATTAAGTAATGTTACACCACAATTATACGGTTGTAAATAAAATTATACATAATGTTTAGAGTTACTGTTTTCAACTATTTATTTTTCTTAAATTATTTTTTGGTAAAATTTCAAATTTCAAACTAATTAAAATACTAGTACAATTCGTAAGAGGATATGTATTTATACTTATATTTACATTTATATTTGTTCATTCAATCATTCTTTAAATATTGTGCAGGATATTATTTTCATGATTTTGAATAAGGTCCAAGTTCAAGATTGGTATGCACTTCAATTCCTTTCAATTCAACTTAAATTAAAAGTCGCTTCTAATCAAGCCTTCCTTCATCAAATCATACCTTTAGTTAGAATCTTGACTTACAAATGATCATAAAAACTCCACTGGCTATATATAATATTCTTTACTGCCAATGAATAAAATTTGAAAACTTACCACTTTTCCAATAATGTAATGAATATTATTAATTTTTTTAAATAAATAAAACCAAAATTTCTGTAAATTATACCAAATTCAATTATACGCTAAATGTACGAGTATCAAATTATTTAGTTGGAGTTAAATTCCAGAACATGTAAAGCAGTATAAATGATGGAATAATAATAAATAATAATACTAATAACAGGAAAGCAAAAGCAGAATCGTGTGCTGCATATTGCATGACGTTACAGAATGTTTGTTTTCTTATTTTATAATTGTCATTGTATTTTAAAACTTTATTTAAGAATTGATCTATGCATGCATGGATATTATTTAAAGGTTTACTAAAAGCTCCAACAATCAACAGTGAATTTGAGTTTACGAGTTTTAGCAGCACATTTGAAACTGGCTATATATATATATATATATATATATATATATGAACTATATCACGTCTAATTTCACGTCTAATTTCAGCGTTTTACAAAAATATAAGCACAACTACATCAATATTCAAAAATTGCATAGTTATTGCCCTATTTGAAACTTCACCATGACAAGATGAGGGAATATTTTTTCTCTTGGGTTTAAAGCTTTAAATCATATATATATATATATATATATATATATGTATTCAAATATATTAAATCATATATATATATATATATATATATATATGTATTCAAATTTAAATAAAGTGGTTGGTTAATACCACAGAAAATAATGTCAATTTCCATAAATTCTAGGGCTTTTATTAGAATTTATTAAAAATGTATGTATAAAATGTATAAATATGTTCAATTAGAATGTTATGGGTAGTTTTTCTTGATCTGTGATTCTAGATAGGTATATATATATATATATATATGTGTTTGTGTGTGTAGAGAGAGAAACATTTAAATCTTGAATGATAAAAGAGTCATTTATGTGTTTTGCTGATATGTGGAAGTCAGCAATTTGAAACCTAAATTCCATGTTACTATGCAAATTTCACTAGTTAAAAACGAGTTTAGTCTATGCTTTCTAGCTGAATTTTTTTCATTGATCTTTAAATTTAAGTTGAAATCCTTTTATATTAGTATTTGAAACCTGCATTCAAAATCTTCCGTTTAAAATGATACATACTTAAACCCCACATATTTATGAGTTAGAACAAGGAAAAAGAATAAAAGTAAACAAAAATTGAACAAAAACAAAAACAAGATACTGAAAGTTTCTAGGGATTTACTAATGACTTTGTGTACAAAGTGAATATCAATTTTTAATAATTAGTCATAAATTAATCAAAATTCTACATATAGAAAGGGTTTAGGGCCTAAATGATAATTTGATTAGTTTTTTCACACTTGACTTTTTTTTCTTTGTGAGATATTTTGCATAAAAAAATTACATATAACTTTTTGAAAAATAGTATTCTTCACATATGTGGTGCATTGTGGAATTTTCAAGCATGTTAATTATAAAAGAGGTTTAATAAGTTGCAAAGATATGCAATTAAGTATACATTTGATTGTTATGCTAAAGAATAATACAATCCTCACACCCTATTAATTAATTTAATTGTTAAGTAAAAGCAACATTGAAAAAAATGAAGCTTTTGATTTGAATCAAAGCACTAATAAAAGCACAACCTTAGTTTGTACAAAGTGCTTTAAAAGACTTTTTTGAACATTTGCTAAGCAAGCAGCAAATGCATTGCCACTTTTGACAAAACTTATAAACATATAAACATGTACCTATTTAAAGCTTGACTATCATAGTAGAAATAGCAGTATGCGTAACAATTGTGCCACATAACAAGCAGCAACTCAGTTGGCAGTTTTTACTATAAATATCAAATAAAAAATATCACTAAAATAATAATAATAAGAATAAAATAACACTTCCAAATTCCAATTGCTTGCTTTGTTGTCATCCAACAAAGCTATTTGCTTACACATACTAAAATGCACAACTCAATACACATACACATTTCATCAATAACATGCACAACTCAATATTCATCAACCCTTAGATTTCCACATACTATGCAATCATAAAATGAAAATAACTTCACACACACACACACACATAATGTATGAGTGAGTTTTTATTTTTTTATTTTTATACTGTTATTAAAGTATTGACATTTAGTTAACACTTGATCGTACACTGGCATCCCAATATCTTTACTTTGAATATCGAATAAAGTATCTACTGCATTTTTACAAAATTTTAATTTTCATTAAGAACGATAAATAAATAAATAAATAAAATTTCCATCTAAATATGTGCAATATTTACTACATTAGAGAAATAAAATGATAGTTTGACAATAGCATTGCTCATCAGAAAAGCAGATAGGCCATAAATCCACTAATATATTCAGAAATATAAGTTTTGAGGGCCTTCTTTTGGAAAAACACTAGATGTATATCCATAATCGTATACATATATATATGTATATAAATAGAATGAGATTTATAATCATGCACAATGCTCTTAGAATTTATTTCATATAATACATCACCACAAGCACACATACATACACTTATACATAGTCACAAATCACCCCATTTCACTAAAAAAAATCAAAATCCTAGAGAGGCAAATATTCACAAAAATGATGTTAAAAATAAATAAATAAATAACTATTATTTAATTATATTGAGTTGAAATAAACGTACCTACATGTATGGTTTGCATAGGAACACAAAAACCCACCATTTGAAAGGGTAGAATAAGTACAATGGAAGGAGTATAAGGACCTCAAATGTGACCCCATTTCTACTCACGAAAAACCAACTTTATTGCTCCTAAAAGAAAAAACCCTAGTTTTGTCCAATGCAATAACAACCCACATGAAAAGTTACAAGTACTGTTTTGCCCTCGTATTGAATGGGGACGTGTTTTTCATGAGCCGTGTTACAAGGAAGGAGAGAATGGGGGACATGGCCTATAGCACAAGAGAGAGAGAGAACCCAAGCAATCCAAAGCCAAAGGGGGTGGGGAGGAAGTCAAGGAACTCCCAACCACTAATGCAAAGCATGACAATTTCGTCCTCAGAATTCTGAGTGGTTATCCCCAAAAGGAGCAGCAGAGTCAGTCAGTCTTTCAGTCAGCCATCCAGCCTTAGAGCTAAACCTAAAGCTTAGCTTATAGCTTAGGCTAATGCCAAAAAGGATAAGCTAAAGCCAAAGAGAAAATGGCAGCCAAGCTTGTGGCCTCTGCAAACTCATCCTAAACCGCGGTGATATTTGTGGATGAATGTGGGCGAGACAGTTGATGAACGAATTCCGGACGGCCATGAAGATGGATGGATGGATGGATTCGCGTGTCGCCTCTGTGGGTTTGGGGAGAGGGGAAGGGCGTGGCCATCGGCGGACGGGGAGCTATGAGTGCGGGCGGCGCCGCGGTAGCGGAACGCAGATGAATCGCACGTGCGGACGGCAACCGATGGTAACTAGGATGGTTGGCGACACACGGCCCCTATCGTGTGTGTGTGTGTGTTTTTTTTTTTTTTTTTTTTTTTTTTTTTTCCCCCCCCAAGGGCTTGAACTCGCCCGCTGTCACCGTGCGTGTAACATCACGAGGGTGTTTCGCCCCCCTCCCCCCCGTCGATATGCCACAAACCTTGAGAGCGGGTTGCCGTCTTATTATTGCGACCGTCGTTGGAATCCTGGTAGAGTGAGTGAGAGAGAGAGAGACGCCGTCGTGGAGGCGACATTTTGAATCATTCTGCGCTTCGTTTGGCGTTTCGTGGCGTGAGCGGTGTTGGTTTTGGTGGGATTTGTGAGGGTGGCAAGGGGCTTTGAAGTGGGAAGGTTCTGGAAGGTTGTCGAAGAAGGTGCCGGGTCCGACTCGTTGCCGTGAGCAGGAGTTTGTAGGCAGACGTTTTGATTGACAAGCGCGCAAGAGTTGGTTGAAAGACACACCGTCGGTTTGGAAGTCTTCGTTCGTGGAGGGAGACGAGTTGGCCAAGGGAGTTGTCGTCTCGGGGAAGGGGATGCAGAGGAAGTGCGAGTCGCATGCTCATCTTGATCCTCACATCTCGTACTCCGTTGTTTTCGTTGGCTCTGAGAGGAGTTTTTTTAGCCTGCTCGGATTTTTCTCATCGGCTGGATTTTAAATTTTTTTAGCGGAATTAGAATCAATTCTTGGCTGGGAGGTGGGTGATGTGATTTGTCTGCCATTGAGTAGGCCAATCGAGTGCAGGGAGTTATTGAGTATCTCGGGACTTACTGGGTGCTTAAGTCTCAGTGTTCTGCCAAGGGTAGCCGTCATCCATTAACTAGTGCCACTCTGAGGGTGGTTGGTTTTTGAGGGAATTCTTCGTGTTTCGAAGAGTTTTGTGAGCCATCACGGAGTTGCAATCCACGACGGTTTATCTTGGGGTCGAGTTCGTGTTTTCTGTACACAGCCATTGTGAAGGGAGGGACTGGTTTTCTCTGCCAGAGGTTCTGAGAAATGGAGCCGTGTGGCTGTCGCTGATAATACTTCACTTATGCATCGGAACATTGTGTGAAGTTCTCATTTGGATACGTTGAGCAGATTTAAGAGAGTTTGTAGGCTGCACGCGAGCAGTGTTTTAAAGTTGATTGGGGGAGAGGGTTATACATCTTACCTTACTGCCGGTTTATTACGAAGGTGCTTGTTAAGACAGGGAAGGGTTTCCTGATTATCTGACAGAGGAGAACAGTTGGAATCCATGGTTGGTCCAGCCTCGCAGAATGTCACTAGCGGTGCGGGTTTGCATCAGGATGATTACCATGGAGAGAAGCATGGTTGGTCAACCCAGCCTCGAGCCGCGGTTCAATGTGGCTCGTATTCAAGGACACTACAAACGAAGCACTATTCCGGAGGCGATTCGGGAAAGCGAGTTAACCACAGAGTTACGAAGGGAGCAGACCACAGGGTAGGAGGAGGACCAGACATGAATGCAAGAATCAATCTGCCGTCGTCGGTCTCTTCTTCTGGTCATTTCTCTTGTCCATCTAATATCGATCGCTTCCTCGAGGTTACTACTCCCCGGGTGAAGACTCAGAATCTTCCCAAGGTATATATATGTATACATATGTATATATATATATCTGTTGTGGCATAATTGCAACTCACGCTAAGCGTAATAGAGGATTTTGTTTCACATGGATACAGCTAGCCAGGATTTTGGAGAGACGGGCATGAAAGTGGAACTTCCAGGCTACAAGCTTCACGGTTGAAGCTTAGAGTTGGTTTACTTGGTTTGGCTCATGTCGTTGCTCGGTCTTCAAACTTATCATTCCGTGTTCATCGCCGCGGTCTATGTTATTGCTGTTCTTCCTTTTACCTTACTGACTCTAAATCGTCTCCTTAAAAGGAGACGATTTTCATTCGCAGGGTTTTGTTGTTGTAATTCTTTCTTTTCGATTATTTATTTATTTATTTATTTTTTACCTGAATGATTTATTTCTTTGAACGCGTGAGGAAGACGGCCAATAGCATAACGAAACTATTTGTGCTGTGTGTGTTCTCTCCTTGACATCAATGGGCGCTGTTTTCGAGGCGGGAATGCGTTGCGTTATAAGTTGTGTGTGCTCTCGATATTTTGATCGTAGACTGAGATCTTAAAGATGTTGAAGTTCTAGATTAGAGACAGAGTTGGAATTTTTCTTCGTTTCCCAATGGTTGCACGAGCACGATGTTTCATAACCTTTAGACTTGTCAACATATTGCGTAACTATTATCTCATTTATCACACTTGCTGATGTGATTGCAACAGCAATCGCCAACGCTTTCGTTGTTGTAAACTCTGCAGTTTAAATGCAGCATTTTTGTTTCAAGGCAGATTGTGTAACTCCTCTGTTGCAATATTCTTAGTTTTGTAGTTTAAGCACAGTAATTTGAATTCGATTCCTAATCATTGCTTCTCACACTTTCATTTATTTGTTTGTTTGTTCGTTTGTTTTTTGATGATCTGCAGTCATACGTACGGGATTCTTCTCAGAAGCGGTGTCTCAACCCTGAAAAGACGGCATACTTCAACCTGAGAGACTTATGGGACTCATTCGACGAATGGAGCGCATATGGAGCTGGTGTGCCTTTGGTGTTGAATGGTGATGAGAGCGTTGTCCAGTACTATGTGCCTTACCTGTCTGCTCTTCAGTTGTACAAGCTGGCACCACGGCAGTCGGGATTCAGGTGCTTCTCATAAGGCATCTCAATCGTATCAAAGATGGATTAATCTCATTTCTGGTGTCGCGATTACTAGGTCGCTGGAAAGATACAGGTTCTTGTGTTGATGTGGTTGAATGGTCTACTCCCACGGAAGTTTTCTCTTAGAACTTATTGTTCCCTACGACTTTGATGAACTGTAAGTAATAACGTATGCGTTAGCGTATATGTTCATTTCAGTCTTGGTTTTCATAATCGAAGTTGGAGTGGGTCTTTGTTTTAGTCCATGATGTGTTGGTATAATTGTTTATGTACAGGAATCGAGGGTCTGATTCTGATACGGGCAGCGAGGCTAGTTCAGACGGTGAGAATGACAGTTTTTCCCTGGGTTACAAAGGTGCCGAGAGTCCGCCATCGAGTTTGCGTGGTCCCTCCGGAAACAGTATCAGGTTGAATTATTCCCGGTCGGAAAGCGACGAAGATGTAGAGGTCTGGTCTTATTTTGAGACCATTTCGCCGTATAGTCGGGTTCCTCTTGTTGATAAGGTACACTGTTACCAACAATGGATACTCATATTTGCAAGTAGTCACGTATTCCTTTGCGGGAGTGTGTTTTGATTAGAAGACTGATTGAATAGTCTATTACCTCGCACTAGTATGCGTTTGTTGTGTGCTTCTGGACGAGCATTGCCTTAGAATCGATAAGAAGCTGTTACTCAGTTGTTTATACTAGTCAAGTCGTTTCTGCACTCCAAACTGATTCATCGGTGAATTGCAGATTGCAGACCTGTCACGAGATTTCGAGCCCGACAAGAATCCCCTACGTACACTACAAAGTTTCGACCTTTTACCGAACAGTTGGCTTTCGGTCGCTTGGTATCCAATCTACCGGATACCTACTGGACCTACTCTGCGAGATCTGGATGCTTGCTTTTTAACATTCCACCCTTTATCAACACCATTAAAAGCTACAGGAGGTAAGAACATATCTATATACGTTCTTATGAGTCACCTTTTTATTTCAAAGTTGTTTGAGGAATGTTAGAGAGGACTTAGTGCTGATAATCTGTGTCTACCGTCCTGGTGATCTAACTCTTCCGCGTGTTATATTTTGCAGATGCTTCCATGAGGTCACCGCGTCGCGAGGGTGTGTGTGTAGCTCAAAATGTCCCTCCTCTGGAACCTCTACCGCTTCGTGCATTTGGGCTGGCATCGTACAAGCTCAGAGGTGCTGTCTGGTCTTCAAGTTCCGAGAGGCGACAAGTAGCAATGTTGCAGAGGAAGGCCGACGACCATCTCAAGGATTTGCGTGTTCAACATCTGCATTCAGACTTCAATTATTTCACCTCTCATAGTACACCGACTCGTCGCTGAGTCGTGACTTTGGGCTGTAACATTAGTGTGTATCTATATCCCCCTTTCCCACCATGGTCAAATAATGACCGCGAGGCTCGAGTATTCATCTCATGAAACAGCGACTGGCAGCTCTCGTACAAATTCTTCGCCAATGTTACTGGGCCAGCTTGTGTAAGTTAATGTTGCACCACCTGCGCTGGCATTTTGAATAAGCCAGTCTAGCTGTAGTTTCAGTTTCTTCCCTTATCTGAAACCAAAAAAGTAAAAATTAGAAAAAATGGAAAATCTTGATTTTTGTGATTGCACTTCATTCGAGCTTGTAGGGTAGATTAGAGGCAAAGTTTTTGAAGCCTCTTATATGCTTTTGCTTAGGGCAGGGCTTTGGAACATCAATATCAATCTTGTGGATACTATTGATGATGCGTAACTTTATGTTCAGTTTTAGTTGAAGTGGCAATCTGTAGCCGGGAAGTAGTGGAGAATCTGACAAGGTCTTTCTATGTCCTTTACCTTGTAGCATCGTTTTATGAGGGAGGCTTAAAGTAGTTCTTATGGTTATAAAAGACGGTACTTGGGTTTTATTTTTTGAAAATTTACTTATATTTTTTATATACCTTCTGAACGAAGTGCTGAACGTTTTGGCAACGTTCAATATCTAATTTTCTGTAAATGTCTTGGAAATATAAATGTTACATATCTCATCTGGTTGGTTTCCTTGACCACTTGAGCAGCATTCATGTGTGCTTATTTCGTATCCTGCTCAACCATTCAGCCAAGTGATGTTTTCGCATTGAAGATTTGTCTGAGGATTTCAATGTGGACTTTGTTAAAGAATCCATGGGCTGCTCTTGAAATTTTATGATGTTTACTAAATTATTTTTGGTTAACGAAACTGTTACACAAACCTGAAACATGGTGTGGAGAAAAGTAATTAATAATTTTAATAGAGAATTAAGAACTTGGTTAAGCTAGATTTCTGTACGAACTTCAGTTTTCAAGTAAACATGTTTTGCATCATTCTATTTTCCTCGAGACTGATATTGATACATTTTAATTCATATGTTTGAATAAATGGGTTAGAAGCTTGATTCACCCTCTTTTACAAACAAACTTATTTGGAAATCGCCTGAATTTGGACACGTTAAGAACCAATGATCTCTAACATATATATATATATATATATATATACGTACACATTCACATACACACATCTAATCTGCACGTGCACAAAACCATTAAAACCAATTCTCAAGTCATTGTAACAGAAAGAGTTAACGAAGCGTTAGGCCAAAAGCCTGTCAATATGAATGTACTGGTTACAGCCAACAATCAACCCACGAAATAGAAGAAACTTGAACAGCTTGAATTGGTATTTCAATTGATATTTGATACAAGTCTTTTCATGACAAGATTAGTGTCTTATTGCTAATCCTTTCATGAAAGAGCCTTCTATTTATTACCTTTTAAAGCTTTTCTAGTTGCAAGGAGAGCTACGACACGGTACGGCAACATCGCACCCGACTGACAAGCCCAGCCTCCCTTCAAACATAATTCAAAACAACTTTTACACGAATTAGAACATCGAACCGAGTTGGCAGTGTAGAAGAAGCGAGCTGCAGAAGCCCGCGTCACTTGTACCAAAATTGGATGCTTACAACGTCAGTTCGCTGCTAGCACCCTAAGATTAGATTGGCCACAATTACCTCTCGCACACCCAAACCCTGTGTTTCACAGCTTCGTCGATCGAAGTCGCTTTAAGCACAACGAGCAAGCAGAATTATAAGAATCAACCCAGCAGCCCTAAAAGGAAGCTCACACATGGATTGCATGTCACTTTCAAAATCTCGTCACACAGAATTTCTCATAACTCTGCGTGAAACCCATCTCATCAAACAAATCTGATATCGCCAGAAAATTCATGAGGGTCCGGTAATTCATGTGAGTGTCAGAGAACGTGTCTTTCTGCTTCTCCCCCTTACCGTGCTCCACAATTTGGTTCTAAAATGCTTAGCGTTGGGAAAAGAGAATGTCACCACAAAGTTTGCTTGTACGTATGGCTTTCGCCTTTCCTTTCTCCCTCGCTTTTCGCCTCCTGTCTAATTTCCCACCCAAAGAAGTCTCAAAATCTTGAGTGAGTCAAAGAGAAACCTGGTGGGGTCAACAAGCACGCATGAAACCCAGGAAGGGCCAAAGAAGGCAAGTGCTGCTTCGGTGGCAAACACCAGAACTGACACCTCCAGCCACTGCTCAAAAAAAAAAACAGACTAAATCCAACACACACTCGCCACTGTTCCCACCACCACATTCGGAGCAGCAAAATTATTTTTTAACAGAGAAAAAGAAAAAGAAAAAGAAAAAAACTGCTCAATTCGATCTCTCCACGCTCCCAGCCTAAAAAACCAGCCCCCGCCATTCCTGCAACAAGAGTCCACAGCACCGGAGGCGCACCGAAACGCGCTCCCTCCCCTCCCTCCCCATCCTCCAGAGGGGGGGGGGGGTGTCGTGAACTCCGCCCAACCCCCACGAAACCCTAATTCTCCCAGTAAGCGAGAGGCCTTCACCGAACAACTCTGACGACAGTTCCCACCGGTGTCGCGGCACTTCTTTCACAACCCGTTTCGGGAAAATAAAGGCAGAGCATAACTCACTCACTCGCCGAAGACTCGACAAGTCGCAGATCCTTGTAGACCACTGTGGATTTCAAATCACACCCCACACTCCGCGTCAACCCCCCACACCCAAAATTGGATCGCGCAGCATTCATTCGATCATTCAATCGACATCGAAACACGCATAGAAAGGCCAATTCCTGCATAATATTCAACCACGTGGAGCGATCGACGCCGACCCAACAAATTTCCAAAACGTGCCTTTTGAATATCATCGTGAGCAAAATTTGCCAAATTCCTCTCTAATCGGCGGCGGAAGTGGGGCCCACTAAGGGCGATCGAGGGCCGTCGATCTGGATCTCGCGTGCAAGGGAAGGAACGATGTGGCTGAACTACGGGGGGGGGTCATGCAGTGCGGACATAGCAAACCTTTCGCTGCCACGTCAATTATGAAAAGGCAGATCTCCGCCGACACGTAGTACGTGGCGAGAGCTCGTGGCATTTCGTATCCGAGGTGGTGGACACGTCACCGTCGAGCGCAGGAAATATCTTCCTCCGTGTGCTTTGCATTGGATTGGGAAGTGAGCATCTATAGGGCCTCCAACAGTGTGCATTCCATTAATAATATGCAGACGGATAATAAGTAACGAATAATTATTTGCATTGTCAACTAATTAAACTTTTATAACAGTATATATATACATAAATGTATGTTTTACAAGGTCTTAGGTTTTTTTTGCAATTATTAATAAACCATATATGGTTACTACTTGTTAATAAGATTATTATTATAATTATTATTCTTCTCTCTAGTTTTCTTAAATTTTTGATAATGAATATAATAAATATATTAAAGAAGTGGTTTTTATATGTATATATATATATATATATATATATATATATGTATTTTACCCAAATATATTTTGAAGAAGTTCTTATTCAATATGATCTTTGATTAATAATTAATCATTATAGGAGAAGTACATAAAGCATAGAACCTTGCAATACTTAGACTGTAATTTACAAAGAGTGGAAATTCAAATGTAAAAAAATTTCTTTAGTTTACTAATTCAAATTTTATGTTATATATATATATATATATATATATATATATATATATATATATTTTGATTTATCATTTTTCTCAAAGGTTTAAACTTTTTAGAAAATATTGTCTTTAATTTACTTAGTTTGTTCCATTTCGAGTTGTTATTTGATTTGATTGATTGATTGATTGATTGATTTATTTATTTTAGTGATTAAGCATTGTGGCCTATCTTATTTATAATAAAAAAAGACAGATCTCTCTGTAGATGTGTGTGGATTATTGAGGATTTAACAAGATCACCATTAAAAATAGGTATCGTCTATCTTTGATTTCAACTAAATCAAGCAAAGATCTATTCAAAAATAGATCTATGAGGAGCATATAACTTGATCCGCATCAAAGAAGGAGATGAATGGAAGACTGCTTTTTAAACTAGATATGAACGTTTTGAATATAATGTCATGCCTTTTGGACTCACAAATGTACTAGCTACTTTTCAATATCTAATAAATGTTGTTTTTTGTGAGTTTCTTGATGATTTGTTATTTGGACAGTATTTTAATCTATTCCAAGAACACAAAATGACATGAAGTTCATATTTGTCATGTGTTATAAAAACTAAGAGATACAAGATTATATGAAAAGATAGAAAAGTGTATATTCCACACTACTCAAGTTGACTTTTTGAGATACATTATTTTCAATGAAGGCCTTATAATGGATCCAAAGAACGTTCAAACTATCATAGATTGGAAGATTCAAAAAATAATAAGAGATGTACAATGCTTTTTGGGCTTTGCCAATTATTATCGAATCTTTATCAAGAATTTTTCTCAAGTTGCAGCTCCACTTATACATTTGACTTGTAAAGACAATCTTGAGTAGAATAAAGAAGCCAAAGCATCATTTATTGCTTTGAAGAAAGAATTTACTTTTGTACCAATTTTATATTGCGTCAACTTTTTTATTAAGATTTTTATAAAAATAGATGCATCAAACTTTATCTTATATGTAATATTGTCACAAATGAGAACAAATTATAAACTCCATCTAATAGCTTTTCAATTTATAAAATTTTTAGCAATGAAGATTAACTATGAGATCCATAACAAAGAACTTCTTACAATTATAGATTCACTACAAGAATGGCATCATTATTTAGAAGGTACTTTAAGTCTAGTCATAATATATACATATTATAAGAACCTCAAGTATTTCATATTGGCACGTGTTTTGAATCATTGCCAAGCCCGTTGGAATATGTCATTATTAAGATTTAATTTCAAGATTACATATTGAGGTGGAAAACAACAAGGTTTATCAGATGCTCTTTCTAGACGCTCCTATCTTGGACCAAAAGAAAAAAACATAGGTTTTAATCAACAAAGAACAATCCTCTTCAAGCCAGAGTATTTTCATGTTCAAGCAATGAAATCAACATTAACTGTTGATTCAACCTTTATCAAATAAATTCAATCAAATATGTCTTCTGATCCTCTTGCTCATGATATTAAGAATTCTTCTGCTAAGTCTCATAATATTTCAAAGTTTGAGTTCAAAAACAACCTATTCTATTTCAAAGGATATTTATATGTTCTAGAAAGAGAACTACGTTTACATATTCTTCAAGTACGTCATGACTTTCCAAAAGTACGACATTTTAGATACAATAACACTTTAGAGCTTATATTTAGAGTTTTTTTGGTAGCCGTAAATGTAGAAGGTGGTAAAAGACTTTTTCCAATCATGTGATATTTTTTCAAGATCAAAAACTCCTCATCATCAACCCTATGGACTTTTCCAACCTTTGCCTATATCCGAACAACCATGGTCTTCTATTTTTAAGGATTTTATTACAGATCTTCTAAGTTCAAGTTCATATGACTCTATATTCATAATTGTAAATTGGTTCATCAAAATGGCTCGTTTTGTACCATGTACAAAAACTTTTTTAAGTAAAGAAAAAACTAAGTTTTTTATTGATAATATCTATTGCTATCATGGATTGTCAGAAGATATTATATCGGATATAGGGACTCAATTTATATCAAGATTTTAAAAAATCCTATTCAAGATTCTAAAAGTC